TAAAATAGATGGACAACTTAGATAAGAAATCGTCTCTGGAAATGGAGGGCAGGGATTGTGCAACTGTAAGGTTGGACACTTAGAGATAAGAAACTGAGGGAAACCTCCATCTGTAGCTCTGGTTTAGAAATGACTTTTGTCTAAAAATTATAAGATGGTAACTCAGGGACATTTTAATCCCTATCCATCCTTTCAAATAAAGGTAATTTTTTTCTAGTAGTTCAGCTTGGTCATTTCCCATTGCATGTAGAGTAAATGTTTAGAATCACTTTGGAAATGATAGGCCTGCTGACCACAGGAGACACCATGTGCTCATGCCCCGTGTGAAAGATGCACCCATCGTTGCTTTGTCTCTGGCTCTGACCTGGGGTGGAATAACTAACCTCACCGATCTGCCAACCCGTCACCCCTCTTGGACTGCTCCTCCCCGGCATCCCAGATTGTTTTAGGTTGTTGCTGGTTCTTAGCTTTTCTTCCACCATACCATATTTTAGAAAGGTATTAAAGAAAATAACTTCAAATTTTTAGAGCTTCAGATAAAAATAAAATGGGTGTGATGAGGTATAGGTACGCTTTCATGTTGAGGCTTGGCTAGCTGCCCTCCCCCTTCATTGCCCATGAAACTCACTGCAAGCATGTGTCCAGGGTGTACAAAAGCACCAGGATGTGTCACCTTTGATATCCATAGAGATAAGATTATTGTAAATTGTAATAAGAATTGTAGGGAATGAAGAGTCACTGAGGTAACCTATAAATAAAGATCCTATTTCCATGCAAACAATTCTCACATACCAGCTTCCTTCTTCAGAATATCACGTAGCTGCATCTTTTCCCGAAGAATATACTTTTCTGCTTTCCATAAAGGGTCAGGTTGGAGTGTAAATATTTTTATTATTGATCAGTGATAGCTGGGTGCTGTAAAATTGGTTGGTAATATTATTGACACAAGCATCTTAGAAAAATATTAAAAATTAAGGACCTAGGCACTAAATAATCACCCATTATACTATCTCTAATAAACATTTATGAAGCACTTTAAAATTAAAATCTGTCATGAAAAATGTGAAGTACAGTCTTAATAGTAATTCCAGATCAAGGGTCTGTTTGGCTCTGAGATCACGTTACAGATGCTATGGGATAACTGGCTGTGGGTGTCAGATCACCAAGAAGTGTGTCAGCAGAGAGAATGAGCTCAGCTTTTATGAGCTCAGCTCAGCTGCATGTGAATTCTATGAATCTACTCTACTTTTTGCACAACTTCAATTATGTCCCAAATTATTTTATGAAAAAAAGCAAATAAATTTAAAATACATCATTATGACCTTGAACTAAGTTAAAGGAAATCTGGAAATTAAATTTTCTTCTTTTCTCCCACAGCTAAACAACTAGTAAAAGGGGAAAGATCAGCAATTTTGCATTTAATTTATCATTTTGAATAAATGTCAAAGAATATTTACATGGAGAAATACAACGTTAAGTGAAAAAAGTGGGCTTTAAAAACTATATGTACAAAAAGGACACTAGACAGTAACTAGAAGCTATATGAAAAAAATAAAGATCTCAGTAAAGCTAAATACATTAATATCATTAAGATGTCAATACTACCCAAAGCAATCTACAGATTTGCTGCAATCCATATCAAAATCCCAGTGACACTTTTTGCAGAAATGGAAAAGCCCATCCTAAAACTTTTGTGGAATCTCAAGGAACCCAGACCCCAAATAGCCAAAAAAATCTTGAAAAAGACGAGCAAAACTGGAGGACTTATACTTCTTATTTCAACTTACCACAAAGCTATATCAATCAAAGCAATATGGTACTGGCATAAAGATAGACGCAGACCAATGGAATAGAATTGAGAGCTTAGAAATAAACCTTCACATGTGCGGTCAAATGATTTTTGACAAGGGTACCAAGACCATTCAATGGGGAAAGGATATTCTTCAACAGTGGGGTTAGGAAAACTGGATATCCACATGCAAAATATGAAGTGGGACCCTTACCTAACACCATATGCCAAAATTAACTCAAATGCATCTATGACCTAAAACTATACAACTCTTAGAAGAAAAATGTTAACACATTGGATTTGGCAGTGATTTTTTTGATATGACACCAAAAGCACAGCAGCAAAAGAAAAGATGGACAGATCGACTTTATGAAAATTTTAAAAATTTGTGCGTCAGAAGACATTATAAACAGAGTAAAAGGCAACCCACAGAATGGGAGAATATGTTTGCAAATCATATCTGATAAGGGATTGATTCCTAGAATATATAAAGAGCTCCTCCAATTCAACAATTTAAAAAAAAACCTGATTCGAAAATGGTCAAACATCTTGAATGACGTTTCTCCAAAGAAAATATACAGGTAACCAATAAGCACATGAAAAGATGCTCAGTATCACTAATCATTAGGAAAATGCAAATCGAAACTACAATGAGGTATACCACCTCACACCTAGTATGATGTCTACTATCCAGAAAATAACAAGTTTTGGCGAGGAGGAGATGGGGAAATTGGAACCCTTGTGCACTGTTGGTGGGAATGTAAAATGTTACAGTCACTATGAAAAACAGTATGACGATTCCTCAAAAAATTAAAAATAGAATTACCATATGATCCAGCAATTCTCCTTCTGGAAATATACCCAAAAGAATTGAAAGCAGGATCTCAAAGAGATATTTGCATGTCCATGTTCATAGCATTATTCACAATAGCTAAAACATGAAAGCAACCCAAGTGACCATCAATAGATAAATGGATATGCAAGATGTGGTATATACAGCCATAAAAAGGAAGGAAATTCTGACATGTGCTACAACATAGTTGAACCTTGAAAAGTGAAATAAGCCAGATAAAAAAGGACAAATCCTGTATGAATAGTCAAAGTCATGGGGATGGCTGAGCGTCATGGTGTGTTCCTATAGTCTCAGCTCCTCGGGAGGCTGAGACAGGCTGAGGCAGGAGGATCGCTTGAGACCAGGGATTCAAGACCTGCCTGGACAACATAGTGAGACCCCCATCTCTTAAAAAAAAAAAATGTAAAGACTGAAAGTAGAATGATGGTTACCAGTGGCTAGGAAGATGGGGGAATAGGGAGTTAATGGGTACAGAATTTCAGTTTCACAAGATGAAAAGAGTTATGGAGATGAATGATGGTGATGGTCATACAACATTAGGAGTGTATTTAATACCACTGAACTGTACACTTAAAAGTGGTTAAGTATATAAATTTTATGTTATAATGATATTATTCAATC